TTAATTTAAAAAAATTGGTCAATTATTCCAAAAGCTTCATAAACTGCTAGTTCCTTATTAATATCCTGATTAAGATAAAGTATGTCGAATGAAAAAGGGATTATTAAAAAATAGAATTTCCCATAAAAAAATTATATTGATCAATACACTTTTTAATAAGTTATAGCATTATAAAGTTAAAAATGTAAAAAATAAAATTGAGAATTTTCACACAATATTAGCATTTTAAGAAAAGTGTCAGACCTTCCAGAACATTTTCAAAATTTAAGTTAAAAAAATTAATTTTTTGTGAAAAAGTTGTCATTTTAAATCCCCCCTTGTGGGCAGGTTAAGGGTTAAATTTATGAAAAAAATATACCAAATGAAAGGTAATAATATTATGCATCTATATAAAAAAGAGTTATATTGATATGTTCATTTTTAAAAAAGTTATAGCACTTTTAAGTAAAAAAAATTGAAAAATTTTCGAAAATTAGCCATTTTTAAATTTGTAATTTTTTCGGAGGTTTCGTCCATTTACGGGGAACGAGGGAATTTTTTTTAATTTTTGAGGGTAATGTCTTCGACTAGATACGAATTGTGATCTTTTGACGTATCATTGAAAGAAATCGGTTCGGTGAGAGCTGAGAAAAAGTGGTAACAGACACAAAAAAAAAAAAAAAAAACAAATTTTGAAACATTAACTGGTAGAAGTAAAGCACTAGTAGAAATATTGTAGAGGAAATACCAGGTGTATGCATAAGTCTTTTCCGGTTTTACTGAGATATAGCGCCAACGAATAATACACTGCGCATCGATTTGACACTACGTCAGTTTGTTTACCTGACATTAACCTACAAACACGCAAAAGTTGAGTCCACCAAACAATAGCGTCTATGTTTTATCATTCAGTGATCATGTCTACGTTTGTGCCTGAAAAAGAACATTTGCGGCACGCATTGCTTTTCCTATTTAATCGAAAGAAAAAGGCTGTGGAAAGTCATCGTTTGCTGGTAGAAACATATGGTGAACATGCTCCATCGATTAGAACATGTGAGACATGGTTTCGCCAATTTAAAAGTGGTGATTTTAATATAAAAGACAGTACGCGCTCCGGTAGACCACAAAAGTGCTGTTTTGGAATAATAAGAATCTTAAAATTATTGATACTTCATACATTAACTAACAATATTTTATTTTTATATAAAATTTCATTATGATCAATTAATAAGTGTTTAGATAGTGGGTTATGACAAATATACAAAAACTTCAAAAGTCTCATAGTTAAACTGAACATTCAGACAAATTAATTAAAGTACTATTTAACTCAATTGGAATATGTCATTTTACACCCAATAAATAAATAAATAATTTATATTGAATATTTAATTCTAAGCCAAAATTTTTTACTTTTTACTGATTCATATAGTTAAATAAAAAACCCAGCACAGGGGGGTCGCGGCACAGTGGTGACGTGGCATAGTTGGATCAAGTATAATGATATCTGACAGTGATTAAAATCACTATCAAAAAAAAACGCTTCGATGCAAATCTTTAGATAGTGTTTAAATTTAAAAAATTGATGGGTTATTCCAAAAGCTACATGTTCTGCTAGTTCCTTATTAATATCTTGATTAAGATAAAGTATGTCGAATGTAAGAAGGATTACTAAAAAATATTATTTCTCATAATAAAATTGCGTTGATTCATACACTTGTCAATAAGTTATAGCATTATAAAGTTAAACATGTAAAAAATAAAATCGAGAATTTTCACACAAAAATAGCATTCGGTAGCCATTTTCACTGTGAAGACAAAATAAAGTCCGAAATTTTTTATAGAGGATATGTATGATTGCATTTATTCCAAGGTAAATATTGTGCACAGAGTAACAGAATTATTTGTAATAAAAGTATGAGTGTACCAAGAATATGACGCGACCGGGGTATTACCATCGGACTGATTTGGATATCAATATGGATCAATATGGTAATACACCAGCCGTGCTGTGCTTCTCTACATTGCACATTAAAAAAACCCGAGATGCCTTATCACTTATCGGCGATCGTCAGCGTTTGACATAAATATGAGTCCGGCAGGTGCCAATCAGACTGTGATTAACACTTCCGCGATAATAATAACACACGTTTATTATCATAGTTTGTCAAAATGTATATTTTTTCTGTGTATAAAGAAATTGTTGTGCTTATTTTGAATACCATTCTAATTTAAATTTAAGTTTGACTTTAATTTAATTAAATCTCGTTGTGGTTGCCTTACTGCTAACACTAAATTATTTACTGCTAACGCTAAATTACTAGAAAAATACAAGAAGTAGTACGGTGGTGCATGCTGTTTGCTGATGAATAGTGTTAGTAGGAGGAAATAGGGAAAAAATTAATCGAAAGCTAGAGGTGTGGAACAACTCTTATTGGAATGGGATTCAGAATAAGTAGGATAAGACAGAGTACGAGTTAAATATAAGTTTAATATGACAAAGGTGAACGTGAGATAGGTTAAATGAAAAGACCAATGAAAATAAGCGAAGACGTGATAGGAGAGGTGGAAAGATTTAAATATTTAGGATCAGTTTTGCAAAAGAACGGTGTGACACGGGCACTGCGTTGTCACTCGTTTGATATCCCGCGGTTGTGTCAGCTTCTTAACAACTATCGCTCCAATGTAAGCCGGACCGTTCACACACGCGTTATGGTCATGGTGTAAAGTCCAATAAATGCCTAGCGTCGAATACCCGCCGCAATAATGGTTTATCAGTCATCAACATCGTCCCAGGACATAGCCTCTCTGTTCACCACCGTTAGGAGACCGTCAGGAGTTTACGTGGCGGAGTCTTGTCAGTTCCTTCTCAGCATCGTTCCAATTTAAATCGGACCGTTACACACACATTATATACAGTTATAATGTATAGTGTGAGCGGTTGACAAGAGAATATAGCAGACAATGAGAGTAGCTGAAATGAGATTGCTATAAGAGATGGATAAGTGGAGTGACTAGAGTAGATTGGATAAGGAACAAACATATAAGAAACAGGAGTAGCATCAATCGTGGATAAGACGAGAGAAAATAGATGTAGGTGGTAATGTTATGAAGAGAGAGGAATCGAAAGCTGTGAAAACATTTATGGAAATGAATATTGAAAGAAAAAGAAGTATTGCTAAGATAAAGTCAATCGCGAATTTTAACTCTATGGTGAGAAGCGTAATTTTACGAAGGCATGTTCGTTATAGTGGGATGTTTTACAATTTGCCATTGATAATATCAAGCCTCGTAATCAAGTACGCTGCCTCTGCTGTAATATCCTTATCCACTGTGTCCAAAGTTTCTACTATAAGTTTTTCAGACATCAAGGACCGCATTGTGCCTTTCATTGTGGGTAGAGGACCAAAAAAAGAGATGGAAAGATGTTATTGAACGTGAGGTCGGCTATTGTATGCGTAGATGATGTAGGAGATGGTATTATATTGAAATTTAGGATGAAAATGGACGAATCCAAGTAGTTGGGATAAAGGCGAATCACTTTATATTGGATACAGTGTGATCCGCTAACTATGTTTTACACGATACTTTTAAAAATATAAAATAAAACAATATTTTTTATTTTTAGAAGTTATTTGTATCCTATTCACTTAAACTAACACAAATAAATATAGGACTGACACCTTCATTCCCCTTAAAATTTAATTATCTTAATTTTTTTTTTTAATGGAAACATATATGAAGTTATATTACATAGTTAGTTATATTAAATATAACTATTTTACAAATACCAACTTTCTTAACAAGAAACTGTTCTAACTAAAAAATTAATGATTGATAACAATTTTCGAATAAATATTGCGGAAGTTGATAGAACTTTTATAATTTATACTTTTGTCCTTTATTTTGTTAGCTTAAGGGCATAGATACAAATAACATCTGAAAAGAAAAAATATATGTTTTATCTTATACTTTTGAAGATATTATGTGAGATATAGTTAGCAAATCACTGTATATTGTAAAAACTTTGTTATGTTTCAGTTTTTCTAAAAAATAATTATGATTGTTAAAAAAATTAACCCATCTAATCAACGATACTAATATTTTGAAATATTTTCTTAAATAAAAATATTTTGGATAATTTTTTAATATTTTAAAGACAATGCCATTAACTTAATGTCAATTACAATAAACTCAATAATAGACTTAAAATAAAAGTTATTTTAAATATTTAAATAGTAAACAATTTAAAAAAATGATAGACATTTTGTACATATGCACCAACGTATAACCAATTGAATAAACATATCAACGTACGTCATAAGATTTTTGTTATTTAAAATAACGATTTTACAATTTCAATTACGTTTTAAACTTTAAAATGCAATTGTTTATAATGCTTTACTCTACATATTACAATAAAAAATAAATAAATAAACATACTATAATACGTTTAAGTTTCTTTTAAATAAATACAAATTAAAAATAATAGATCGAAATTATATTTGTTAGTTCCATTTTAAAATGTTTAATCTATTTGTTACTAAAAATTGTTTAACATGAATTAATTTATCAAAAACATCATAATTATATATATTTTTTTATATATATAAGCCAACTACAAAGTGCCTAGTTGGTAAAATTTGATTTGTAATTTGAAATAATGAACACCATTTGTATAGAACTTATTGATATAAAATAATTGATAGTAATGAGTATAGAATATTTGTCTAAATCTCACATAAAATATAACCCAACCTATATTTATAATTTTTCAGATATTATTTATATATTTTAATTACAAAAATTAAAACATTAAAGTATTATACAGGGTGTTCAGTAAGTCAGGAAACGGGTTTCCTGACTTACTGAACACTCTGTATAATAAAAATTGATCACTTGTGGCTAATTAATTAAGTAAAATTAAAACTATATTAATAATATTTTTAATATAGTTTTAATTTTACTTAAGTATTATAGTTGATAAACAAAATTAATGAAATAAACAAATGTAACACTATAAATTAAAAATAATAAATTTTTATTAAATAAAAATAAAATAAAATTTTATGTTTCAATTTGAAAAAATAAAGTTGACACCCTTACAAGGTATAAGGGATGAACATAATAAGTATTACATAGCTAATACGTATTCAAGAACAATGTGCAAGTAATAGTAAATTTAAAAAAATTATTTTAAAATTATTTATATTTTGTGAGTTTATAATAAACGGTTTATGATAAACGATTTACATGATGGTCCCGCATATAAATTTAGATATACACTATTTTGCAGTACTTTTTTTTAAATAATGTTTACGCTTTAGGATATAATAATTATATTATTATACAATTATTTATAATTCATTTATTACTTGTTTAATAAAAAAAAATGTCAACATGAGTTTTTTAACACACCGTTGTGTTTATTATTTAACACTTTTATTACAAATATTTATCATTTATATATAATATTAACGTGCATTTATTGCTTAATGGATATTTTTGAATCTTTTCTTTCAGTGAACATAGTATTATTTTATTTGTTATTATTATTATTATTATTATTACAAATACAATCACTAAAGTGATGAGTACTTTTCACATTTCAAAAGTAATAATCAACAGTAGTAATTACAGTAACTAACTAATTAGAGAATTATTATTTAGTATACATTTAACCTGTTGATAACAACTTTAAAATCATTAAGTATCATTATTACAAATCAATCCAATTTTTTAATTAATTTTTTTTTATTAAGCAAATTAAAACTTATATGTATGCACAAATATCATTAAAACATTTTTTTAGATGTTTATTACATTTCGTTTATACAATAATAAGTTTTAAAAGGAATTCATACTTTTACAATAAAATTAATTAGTTTTAGTTGCTAATTTCTTCAGTTATTTTATTGTGCTCTACTTTTTTCTTGTTTTTGTCTAGCTTCTGGTGTTATTATATAACCCATATCATTATTTTTTCGTTGAATACTTTCTTCTCTAAGTATATAGTAAAATAAATTAGCATATGGTACAATTATTTAAAAAATAAAACTGCATGAATCTGTTTATTATTTTTGACAAAACTTCATAATAAGTAGAAAAAATTAAAATCATTGCTCAACAAACGAGATCTTTTTTATGTAAAATTAAATTGAATATTTTATAAATTATACGATATGAATTAAAGATTTTGAAATGAAATTAAAAACAAAAAGAATTGGTTTATTGGACCAATTCTACAATTTACTTTAATTAATTTGATTTCCAAAGATTATTTTAAGGTATAATAAATACCTTAATATTATTAATATTTTTATCATTTTTAATTTATTTATTTTGTTAATAGTTAACATTAAGACTATAAATTTATTCTTATAACATTGCAAAGATATAGAAGCTTATTAACCATTGTTTTAAGGCCCACCACTAGCCGTCCTGCGAAGCCAGAATAGTGGCAGAATCGCCGCATGCGGCACTTCGGGTTGACCCACCGATGTCAACTAAAAACTTAGTCGGTACCACGGGAGTAGAAAGCCCTACCGGTGACTGGCGTAACTCACGTTATGCCGGACACAGGTGCCCTCCAAGGTTGAGGAGCATATCTCAGCTGAAACGTGGTGGCTGTGTGACAGCGCTAGACAGTTACCCCAAAAACCACAATACCTAGTGGGAGACCGGACCCAACGAGGCACTTAACCGTGTAGCGGCCGGCTCAAGAAAGTTACGGAACTCTCACGGGAATCGGTGCTGGTGTCCCATAGAAGACATTCTGCGCTAGCTGTCTATACGGCTACCCACCACAATAACTCCTATACCGCCCGTTAATAGGGCACAGCGCTAAGGCACGGACGGTATGTGTAGGCGCAAGCCGACTAAACCCCAGGGGAACTAGTGACCCATTTTTTAATAAATGAAAGTTTTACGCCTTTAGTAATTAAAAATTGATTAAATTAAATAATACTGTACTCTGTCAAAGTTCGTATATCTGTAAATGGTGCTGAACACATAAAACACTTTTTATCTTTATAGAGAAATTTACTACAGTGTATACAATATAAATGTCCACAAGGAACTAGGTACATATTTCGACGCATAGTTTCATCCATACAAACGGCACATTCATCATCTGATAAAGCTGTTAAAATAAACTATTAAATTAAATTGGTTAACTGTTTATCTATGTTGTTAAGCATACATTTATTAGAACATAAATGACGCAGAGTTGAAATAAGGCGGATGTCTAAAAGATATTTTTTTCTTAATTTTACTTTTTCTTGGCTGATAAGCTTTTAACTAGTTATAAAAAAAAAAATTAAGAAACAAATTCTTTTAGTCATATATTGAACAAATGTTTTTATATTATCATAATCATATATATTTGAAATATACATATTATAAACAGAGTGTAAAGTATTTGAATAAATATATTTAAATGATTTAACAAATGTTTAATATCTTTTTTAAAATTATTTCAAAAATATTCAAATTCTTTTAATTGATATTTAATAATATTTTTAATAAAATCATTTGAAATTACTCAATTTTATAAAAAAAATAATTAAATTTCAAGGAAAAATTGTTTATTAAAATAATCTTTGACATTTAAATTGACTTTTATGGAATAATAGTTTTAACTTCATTTGTAGGAAGAAAAAGATCTTTAATCTATCTACTCATATTACTAGGTTTTATTACCATAATGTTTTTACTACTTTAATATCTATAAAAAACAACTGTTTAATAGAATAAACATTCAACAATTAATGTAGCAACAAAAGAACTCCTATGACTATCAATAATTTTGAGTATATAAATTAAAATGAAAAACAATTTAACATAGCAATAAATACTTATTTTTCATGAAATAATTTGTAAAAATAAACGCGATTTGAACGAAATCAAAATCATGAATAATGAATCTCAAACATGAATAATTAGAACTAAAATTACCTAAACAAAGCGTAAGTTTAATAACTCTAACTATTCTGGGAAAAAAAATCCTTGGAACGACGTGTTAAAATCGCTTTTCAAGATATATCATTTTACAATACATGAGATTTTTCATTTTGAGTTACCATAAATATCACTACTTATTAATTTTACTTAATTTTTATTCATTTTAATATTTTTCTTTTTCTTTTCGAGTTACAACAAATTTTAATTCTCATGGTGTTCCGAGATATATAATTTTAATATGTTATTTGAAATTAATTATGGATAGTAATTTTTAGCTGAATTCAAAATATTTTAAAGTATTGTTGAAAAAAGGTCAGTATATCTTATTACTTTTTTTTGTCATCATTTTACATACACAAGAAAATTAAAATTTGTATTATATCTATCTCAACTAAAATGCAATAGAGTACTTTCAATCCTAATTCATCCTATTTATTTATTTTTGAAATAAAATTTTGAACTAATTAGCTCGTAGTTATATAAGTGTTGTTAGTAAACTTGTTAGTATATTTCGGTTAAAATTTGGTTGTTTTTACTCCATTTTTCTTTTTACCTGATTCATTGTCATCATCGCAGTGTAATTTTTCACAATTTAATTTGTATTTTAATGTTGAAATAATTGGATTGTCTAGACAATTGTGCACAATTTTGACAATTATTTCTGAACATGTTAAAATACTAGTCAATATTTAAACTAAAAATAATAATACCAATTGTAGTTGAACGTCTTCCTAAGCAACATGATTCTAACATCGCCATTAAAAATCCTTAAAATACCATGATAAAATACAAAAATTAATTATTATCCTAAATTGATAAAAACTTTGATAAAATTTCCCAAGGCAGTAAAATAAATAAAAATTGTGAAGTATGATGTATAAATTAATTCAGCATATAAAAATATCCATTTAAAATTCCAAAAAAATGTTTTGTTTACTATGAAGTCGGGCAGATATTTATTCTAAAATAAATATAAAATGTTAATAATACTTAACTAGTATTAAGAATTAGGAAAATAATAAAAAAAATTTTTGGCAGTTTTGAATAACGCATCGTTTTTAAATACCAATTACTTAATTAAATTTATAAACAATGTGTTCATGTCAAAATTTTTTTTTTTTTTTTGAAAAAACGGATTTATCTTGTTTTTATAAGAATTTCTTTAACAAAATAGTTATTTAATAATAAAAAAATTGTTAAATCATTTAACAAATAATTATACTTACTTGAACTATTGGAAAGAGTTACTAAGTGAAAATATAAAAAAATAAATGTAATTTAAAATATAATGTCAATACAATTATATAGTGTATTAAAAATGGACCTTGTGTAGATTTTACTTAAAATAGTTGATAAATAATTAAACTTTATAAAAGTATGAGAGATTTAAAGGAAAATTAAAATAAGATATATTGACATGAAAATTAAAAATTTATCTAGATAAATTATTATTTATTCAAAGATAAAAAAAAAAAAAAAAAAAAAAAAAAGGGGGGGGCTTACCACCCCATTTGAAATATTAGTTCCTATTTATAGATATAAAATATATATTTGGAAGAAAAAACATAAATACATTCCCCTCCCTTTTCCCTTTAAAAAATGATTTCATTGATCCCATCTAAATCTAGCTCAAAATACAAAAAATTTAAGTTATATTTTCAAACAGTTTTGAACATTAATTGCGCGCATCAGCAAATTCTTTTGTAAAAAACATCTGAATTTTCACGAAAATCTATTTTAAATTATTATACAGCTACAGTCTAATAAAACGCAAATATTAACTTTTCAGTTAAACTATAGTATTTAAAGTTAAGTTAAAATAATAGATTATAATTAATACAAAAATGTACTCAATTATTTATTATTATTGATATTAAAATAATAAGAGGTTACTTCAAATAATATATGTATAAATTATAGCTTACATCTTGGACTATTCTGATTTGAATTTCGATTTGTAGGTACACTAAAAGCTTGTAATAATAATAAATAAATAAATTATCAATAGTTACTAAGCATTAAATCATAATAGATATTAAATTGAGAATTAAATTAAATTGTTAAAGCTTCTTTTTAAGTACAATTTTACTTAGGAAAACAACTTTTTATTTTATACTCAAATTAATAAAAATTTGTTAAAAAGAACCTTAGAATTTTAGTTGAATTGTGCTTAGAAGTAATGAACCCAGAGTTTAAATATTAATTAAATGTTTTAATGTATTGTTATCCTTTTTTCGCATTTATATACCAAAGATTAAACATAATTCTTTTTATTGACCATAACTCCATTGAATCTCTTGATTTCACCACATCAAACACTAATATTTTAGAACAATTATTATTTTTTCTTCGAATTTTTTTTTAAGATTTCAATACATTGTATTATTACAGCTTAATTACAATAGATTCGTTATTTTTAAAAGCAAGTGATCCAAAGCTGAATGATTAAGAAATTATGATAAGACAAACTTAAACTAAACTTTCATTTAGCTCTATTGTAAAGATATTTTAATAAAAAAAAAAAAAAAATGTAAAACATGTTTTATTTTATTACAATTGTATTCAATGGGCATTTTAATTTTATTTTATTATGACAATTATCTTACCTATAGTTATAATTTCAAACGAAATAATTATAACGATTAATAATATTTTTGATTTCTAAAATATATAAAAAAAACACATTTAAATTTAAACTTAGAATTTTTTTCCAAATTTTAGTTTTTTTAAATAATTATGTACTATAGCACATAATTATTAATTATAAACCATTGTATGCTCTGCGGGGCAATATGACGAATTTAACTTTTATTTATAATTACTGTCATATAGGTCAACTTGGAGTGGTGAATAAACATATTACAAATTTCATCACTGAGTTTTCTTAACAGATAATTTGTATTTTTTAAAAATACTAGTTAACATTTTACTAATACTGAAGATTTATAAATATCACTAATTAACTATATTAACTTATAATAGATATTTAACTGACCAAAGTTGGACGAATAGACGGTAATTAATAATTCATAAAATAAAAATTATTGATTAATCAGAGTTTTACTAATTGTTCTAAATATATAGAGTAGCATTTCTACCAAAATTCGATTTTTTATAGTGAATAAGTTTTTAAGAGATTTTATTAAAGTTTAAGGGTATCAACTTGATCCTCCCTCCTATATATCATTTAAATATATATTCATATCATACACTTAGAAATTGTCTTTTGTTACTTTGTCTACCTTAAATAACAAATTTTAAATAAATAATACTATTTCATTTTCAAGGGTGATATATAAATATATAGACGAAATCGTAGAAGAAAAAAATTTAAATGCATACTTTATTTCAGATGTGTTTTTGTAAAAATATCGCAGAGCTCTATTAAAAAATTGTGAATCCCAAATCAAGAATAACTAGACTGAAAAAACTTCTTGGTAAAATCAACAAATTTTTCATTTATATACGTTTAATAATATCGTTGTTAAATAAATTATATCCTATTTTCATTAGTTGAACCATATTTGTTTTGTTCAAAAAAATATTTGTTAATTTGATAATTTTTTTATTCTTCTAATAAAAGTAATGATTATATTAACAAAAAAAGGGTTTTAGATGTATTTTCGTAATAGTTTTATTAGATTTTTTTAACGAGAAGGTTATATTATGTACAACAATTTTGATTTCTTTACTGTAATGATAACAGGGGTGTATGGAACAGAGTTTTTTACGACGCTAATTTTTTTTTTTAATTGTGACCATATTATAGAAGGCCATTGGTTTATCATGGACCACTAGATAACTTCCAAAATAAATAGAATATTAAAAGAATTTATGTTTTTTTTATTACATAATTTCTTCATTTATTACATTTTTTTTATTAATTACATTTTACAATTATTCCTTAAAACGTATAGGGGTGTCATATTAATATTTATAAATGATTGTCATTTAAAAAAAAATAAATTTGACACTTGTTTAAGTTATAAGGGATGAAGATTGATGTCTTAATTTACATGAATTATATTTAATACATACCATTTTTTATTGAAAAACTTAATCTTCAACTAAAAATTCACTGTATTAATAAACAAATTTTACAAATTTAATAAAAAAAATTTAGTTTTTATAGTTTTATGTCAAATACTGTCTTTTAATTCCTTTCTTTTTTTTTTATAATAAATTTACTAATTCAGTAATATCATTATTTGATCAAGAATACAAAAATAACTTGCGTTTATTTTCAACGTCATTTCTGACATTATAAGTAAATTTATGATTGTATGACATATTTTATATAAATAAATTTATGAATTGTTCTAGAATATTTTAATTCATTGTATATTACAAAAGTAATGATTAAAATTTGTGAAATGTATAGGTAAAAAAGATTTATTGTAAATTTTATATGTATTTACATTATTATTTTAAAAGAGCAGTATACTTATTGGTTTTAATAGCATTGTTAGGACTATTTTTCTCGAGAATATTTTTTGGACTTTTGGTAATACTTGAAAGCTTTTAATGACATATTTTATATTTATGAGGGAAATTTTTTGTACACTTTGCAGCACAGTCTTTAACTATATGGATTCAGAGTTGTATATTTGTGTTCTTATTGCACTCAGTCCAAATACTAATATTTTATGTTATTTAAAACAATCGATATATTTGTACACTTGATTGATAATACTGACTAATGTCTTAGTATGCCCAATGATTCCATTACGCATCTTATATTTATCAATGAAAAATGTATAATCTGTATTTTACATTATTTGTAAACAAACAAAAAATTCATTTATCTGCTATATCACATACACTTATGTACACTATTTATTTTATATGTATAACATGTTAAATTGATGATTGTATATTATGTATCTTATCTTAAAATAGTAATCATATTATTTTAACTTTAATACAATAAACTGAAAATCACTAAAATCATTGACAACATCATCCCATTATAATTAAATATAATATAAAAAGGCTTAGTTCTGTTGCACATCCATGAGTGAGCATGCCATCGAGTGACTCTTCTCCACTTTTGAAGCTCTGAATTCAATATAGAATTCAGAATTTTTTTGTCCAGTTTATCTTTTTAAACTAGCCGCGACCTCGTGTTGTCGTCGGTAATTATTAGTGCAACGCTTAATTACATTTCTGCGTATAAAATTTATTTATTTATCTTTTTGAATATTCGGAAGTCTATAAAGTAATCATTGAAAAGAATGTTGGTTACTTTTTGAACATCATTAAACATTTTAAAATTAAAACACAAAGTAAGTAAATTGATATTAACCTAATGATTTAGAATTAATAATCTGAGTAAAGAACGATAAAGCATTAAATCAATACTCTCTTTAGTAATTTTACTAATTTGTTCGCACTTAATACATATACACATACAGACTCTCTCAACGAACTTTTGAATAACAGAAATAGAAGCTTTGATAGAAGCCCTTCTACGAATGAGTCGCCGAAGTGCAGATGATGGAGGTGCAGGTGGTAACAGAAGGATAGGTGTAGATGGATCTTGCATAATGAAATAAATATATACTAAGTGTGGGCGGTTGGCTATCTATGATTAAACTTATAACTAACTTACCGCTATACCACCAAAAAAAAATTTCTTTTTTTTACCATACACTTTACAATAAAAGAATGTACAAAGTACTTATTTCAAAAGTAAAAAATACAAATTTAGTGACTAATACAGGTAATAATCAACTAAGTAATTTGAAAGAAAATAAATAGATATTCTTAAATAAAAATTATAGTTTAATTACTTTATTATTGTTCCTTTTTTTAATATAATGATCTAATTAATTAAATTAAATGAATTAATGAAATATTGTGTTTGAACAAGATTAGTTAAAATGTGCCCCTTATCTGTGCGTGACACAACTTAAAATGCACCACGATCACGTCGAGGGCACCAAATGTTGCCGCCTGGGATGTTCTAAAAAAATCCAAAATATAAATGGGGAATAGAAATCCGCCGTACGGCTTAAAATAGGGGCAACTAATAATCAATAAAAAAAAGTTTCTAATCAATTTAAAATTGCCAAAAGAGAAATATTTTTTGTTAACACAAAATAAGCTTACCTAGCCCAATGAATACAACTAAATAATTAAATACAAACAACTGAACCTACCATTATCGAACCTAATAATCCATAAATATAATACTCTATACTACTTACATGCAGCTATGCTCTATATGAATAAAATGAATTACAATGTACAATATCTGTAGTTTCACTGCAACAATGCACCAGCCAATATATAAAAAAAAAAAAAGGAAGAATGAAAACAACTATATGCCTTCAAAATAATAATATAAATAATGTATTTTAAAAACAAAACTTGAACAATGTTTTACTATTTCATACGAAAACAACACTTAATTAAAATTAAAACCAATGTAACTTAACCTAAACTGTATAATACTACATCAGGTACATATATATTTTTTTGAATAAAACGACCAAACAATACAGGCCTCTGATAAGGCGTACTAACAGCTAATGGCGCACAAGCACTACCAGCTGACCATACCCTACCAGTTCAGCTCTCACGCTTGGCGCGTACAAATATATACGCACACTTATAATGCAAATAAAAATTAATAGAATTTTTATTCAAAAACTCAAATTTTTCCGAAAACACATTTTCTCTCCGCTGTTTGATTTAAATAATTCTTTTAAAATGTCATCCAAAAGGATTATGTTGAGTATATTTTGATTCAGATGTATTAGCAGCAAATGAGTTAAACGCTTTTGGCTCACAATGGAACGCAAATAGGTTTTTAAACGCCTCAACCCACTGAATGTTCTTTCTGGTGTTGCTGAGATGGCAGGTACTGTAAATAATAATGAAAGTAGTCGTTCTACTTGATTCATCAAACAATGTGTAGTTTCAGGTAATATGCTCAACACACCGACTATGTGCATTAAATTTTCAGTGTATTCACCAAAATTTAATATAGTGGACAACATTATTATTTAAGCTCCTAGTTGATCAATATCAAAATACGTCATATGAGTAGAGAGTAATTCTATAAGCTCCTTTTTTTCAAGTTTTTGACCATTTATTTTTCTTATCAGAATAGATTCAATTAATACTAGTTTCTCAAGACCAGACTGTAGTAAACCTTCTGTGTAATTCATGAAGTAGACAATCAAATAAAGCAAAAAATTCTTTTCTTAGAGTTGTTTTTTCGTCGATGTTAGCTGTAGGTATTACTGAATACTCAAATCTAACAGGAATCTTTCGAGTTCTGAGTGGTTAGTGTAACTCAATATCGAGGTGGTCGGCTTATTGTTTTGTTTTATTCCAAACATTATCAAAAACCGAATCATTGTAAAAAGATTCAAGAGTTTTAATTAATATATTAGATACATGTTTTGCACCACTAGCTGTATACGATTGGCTTTGTAAAGTAGTAGCTAATTGTTCGCATGGACCAAAAATGCAGTGAAAAAAGAGTTTCGAATTTTCAAAGCTTATCTTATATCCTCGTAGAGCTGCACGTCTGTCTTTAGCAATTGAATTTGATTCTTTTAAAATTTATCCAACCGTTAAAATAATTCGTTCATAGTTTTCTATGAATCTATTAATCGCTTTTACTCGAATTGCCCATCGTATTGGACAAAGCGAGATAATTTCTGGCATTGCTTGGTATTCATGAATATTTTCATTTGAAGAGGAAGGGGGAACAATATCAGAAAACATTTTTTTTCGTTTTGCTGAATCTAGTATGGTAATGCTTACAAATCTTACTAAATTTAGAGTGTCATTGTCTAAATCTACAGTCTTAATAGTATCACATAAAGCCTAGTTCAATGAATGATTTGAGCAATAAATGAAAATAGATTTGGGTTGAACTTAAGAAATTCGTTTTTGCACTCCACTAATTCGACCAGATATATTTGCAGCTCCATTGAAACAGAGTCACCTAACATTTTCAAAATTGAGACACATACGCACTAATAAATCATTTTTACATGAAAACAATGTCGCTGCGTCTGTACTAGGTGGATTATACATTCCTACAAATTCTACTACATATATAGTATATGCAAGTTATTTCTAAATAAAACAATTAGTTCACTGTATGTGTAAGTTAATACTTAAAAAAAACAGACAGTTTATTAAATATATTTGAGTTTTGTTTCCATATTCAACATAAAAATTAAAGACTATAGCAGATGAACTATATATTTTAGTCACGGGAGCGTAAATTCTAGGAAACTGGCCAGAATTTTAACACAAAAATAGCATATTTTTAAATACGGTAGTCATTTTCACCATGAAGACAAATCCAGAGTCAATTTTTTTTTTCAAATTAAAAAATATTACATAAGGTTTAATTAAAGGTATATATAAAAGTGTCAGTCTTTCTGGAACATTTTCAAAAGTTAAAGTTAAGTTGAAAAAGTTACCATTTTGAAACCCTTTTTGTGAGCTGTTAAAGGGTCAAATGTTCACAAAAAAATAAAAAATGAATGATAGGTAAATACCTAAGGTATCTATAAAAAAAGATTATATTGATATGGTTTTTTTAAAAAAGTTATGGCCGTTTTAAGTAAAAAAATTTTAAAAATGTCAAAAATTAGGGATTTTAATATTTATTTCTAATATGCTAGTATTTCATGAAATTCGTATATTAATATGATATTTATCTCTGACTTCTTTACAAGCTTTTGCTATCATTAAATTTACGGAATATTTACGGAAATTATAATATATTTGCTAAATAATACGGATTTTTTTTTAAATTTATAATCAAAAGTACTGAATAGTCTACATTATTTTTCGGATTTGAAAATTTATAACAATTAGATATCATATTTCTATAAAAACCCAACAATAAGTTTAAAAACTGCAATTGTTTGTGGTCTTTTTAAGAATAATGTAATTAGTTCAAATAAGTTAAACAGCACAAACCTTCTAATTAAAAAAAATATATATATATGCTTAATAATTTATAACTTGACGTTAATATTATGTTATCAATAATGACTCTGTCAATAGCTTACCATCAAAAATCATTTATCAGCCAGAAAGAAAATTTTTATATATTATTCTAATATTTAATTGCCTATATTGTATAAAGTGATATTTTTAATATTAGTCAATTTATTTCTCACGA